CAATTATGCTGAGTCAGGCTTGATTTTTAGTAACCTTTTCCTGTTAAATAAATTAATCAAATCAAATCAATCAGTTTATAAAAGACCCAGAGCAGCCTGTCTGACCTCACATAAAGTCTTCATTCTGATGCTCGTTTGATCTCTTCACATCTGAACAAGCAATTGAACAAGTGGACCTAATAAAGTGGCTGGTGACTGTTTAACAACTAGTTTATACTTTAATTTTAGAATAATTTAGAATAATTTTACATTTAGAATAATTATCATTTTGATCCATACATTGGTAATGTCTGACTGGGCCTCGTGCCACTTTGTGTTCAACAAATTGGGCCCCGAGGTCAAAAAGTTTAAGAACCCCTGCCCCAGAGTGTCACCATGTTAAGGCCGATTTTTGGTCTCCAAAGAACTACTCGTCCTCACAAGTTAGGTGTTTAACAAGAAACGGTCCTAACAAGGTAATAAAAACCTTCAACACACACTCAGTTACACCTCAGTCAACATCCCTGCTGCAGTGACCTGCTTAGAGGATTCAGGAGCGAAGCCACCTCCCTAATCCTGCTACCGGTTCATGTTCAGATCTGATGAAACCCGTCGGTGCCAAACAGCGAGACGACATCTGTTCTTGTCCTCGTGATTAAACCGAGAGGCAGACARAGGTGAAGAAATGTGCTGACCGCCTGAATCAAAATGAAAGCGAACGTTAAGTGCCGCAGATAAATCGCCAACAAGGGAAACGAGAGCTGAAAATCGTGGGTTGATGTTGCAAAGATATTTAAAAAATGAAATCTTCACGTGTCCCATGTTTAAGGGCTAGCAGCCGTGTTATAATCAAACGATGTCATACTTGAAGTACGTGCTGGGGATGACTCTCAGCTACGACCATGTGAATGTTTATCAGTATCTGTAAAATTACCTAATCGAAGCTGTTTTTTCTCAGCACTTGCGTCTCCCCAGACATTTAGCATCATACCCACAGAGTCTTTGCGAATAGATAATCTCCTCCTAAAAAATTATGTGAAATCCCGAACCATAAAATCGCTTTCATGCCCGTTATAAAACCTTAAAATGCTTGGCAAGGCATTCATTTAATTGGTCATTAACCTCCGCGAGCCCTCTGGAAGCACCATTGTCCTGCTAACTCCCACTGGTTTGGCCCAATAACAATATTTCATTTTGACATTGGCTAAAAGCTTCACATTCCATACAAGACAACTCCGCCCCTTGCTCATGTATTCATGGCAAAAAAAAAATAAGTTAAACATTTCATCCTGGTACGGAAGAATCACATTGTGTTATTTCTGCTAAAAGAATAAAAATAAAAAAGAACAAAGGTTCCCCCGGTACAAAACTGCAGACAACTCTGCCTTGAGTTATTCTGTACGAGTTAAACTTTGATGATTTCTTTTTCTTTTCTGTTTTTATTACATATGAGATGTATCTTATTGTGCTCAGACAACAGAAACTCTGCTGCGCCTCAGCCTCCTAACAAAACAAGTGGGTGGATGTGACTCCCCATCTCGGCTGAGAGGGAATAAATCAAAGACGCCGCGGCTCTCTGTAACAACGACACCACCCTCAAACGTGATTCATAAGGCCGACTAGATTCCTTGACTACTTATTAGGTTTGTTGAAAGGCTGCTGTG